CAATTCCTGGTCAGGGCACATGCCCGGGTTACGGGCTCCATCCCCAGTGTGGGCGTGCAGGAGGCAGCCCATCCATGATTCTCTCTCATCATTGATGTTGCTCTCTCTCTCTCCCTCTCCTGGCCTCTCTGAAATCAATAAAAATATTTTTTTAAAAAATAAAATAAAACCCTTCAGTCTGCAGGCCGACGCTCTATCCACTGAGCCAAACCGGCTAGGGCTAAAAGTATATTTTAAAAAATAAAATGAGCCATAGTAACTAAGCTTCCCTTAAGTAAGTACTGCGCTCCCGTGTCTGGAACCCCAGCAAGGCCCACTTCTGGAATGCTCATCAACCCAAATTAAACTGGAATGCCAATGCCACACAAGGCACCGTGTCCTCCTGTCATCCTGATAACAGCAGCCTCTCCCCCATCCAAGAAAGAAGCCAGCTCGGGCACGCTTTCATTAGGGAACGGAGCAGCAAGGGCTGGGTTGGGGGGCAGTGCTGGGGGGGACAGGGGGGTGACCAAGTCCCCGCGGACCAGAGAGGAGCTAAGTCCTAAGAAGGCAACGCTTTCCCTTGAGTTTTGAAATCTAGAGAGAGCCAGCTATTTCTAGAGAAAGAGCTATTTGACTGCACGATGCATCCCTAGTACCTTTAGCCAACCGAAAGGATGCTTAGCTGGTTACGAGTCACACGGACTTGCTTAGAACGCGGTAGCCCGGGAGACAGCCCTACCCCGAGATGGCAATCTCACATGGAAGCCACACAACTGACACAAACGTGCCATCTGCTAAGTCCGGACACTCGAGCCCCTGTACCGTTGTTGCTGGAGCCCTACTCCTCCCCAGCTCCCACCCCACGCCGGCCGGCTGCCACCTCGGCCCACCCTCCCCACTTCCCAGGGAAACATCTGCCCCTGGCTCCCCTCCTGCCCTCAGCCGCCCCTCCCACAGGCACCTAGAGCTGCCCACACCCTAGTCTTTGCTGAGGGTGAGCCACACCATGTCAAGGACATCCCCTCGGTTTGCAGTCTGCTCAGCCCTGGCTGCAGGTGGCATCACCTGCCGACTCTGCCGAGTCCTGCTCTCCAGGCCCATCCAGCCGGTTCGGTCCGGATCCCTATTTGAGCTCCCAGAGGCTCCAGTAAGAACCAAGGTTGAAAACCACTCGTTTAAGGGAGAACCACACCCCAGACGACCTACTAATGGGGCGAAACAGTGCGAAAGCCCCGGGTGATCGCTCCGGGGTGAGAGCGTTGGCCTGGGCACCGAAGGGTCTCGGGTTCGATTCCCGGTCAAGGGCACATACCTGGGTTGCAGGCTCGACCCCCAGGCCCAGTCAGGACAGGTGCAGGCGGCAACCAATCGAAGCGTCTCTCCCACATCGATCTCTCTCCCCAACTGCCCTCCCTCCCTTCCAGTCTCTCTAAAAATCAATAGAAAAAATACTCTCAGGTGAGGATTAACAACAACAAAAACCCCAGAGTGAGAATGCAGGTGAGGATTAACAACAACAAAAACCCCAGAGAGAGAATAATCCAGATGCTGTCCGAGTCGCACATTTCGTGTCTCATTCAACCCTGAATATAATTCACGACCATCTGCTTCAAGTAGCAGCTTTTTACTCACCTGTGAAAAACTGGATTCTAGAAATCAGGTAGAAAAAATGTGAGTTGGCACACTGATATCTTAACCCTCACTCAGCTTTTCTGGTACCAAGTCAGTCCTCCAGAATCATCTACAGGTAAGCTGCCTTTCATTTTAAAAATAGTCATTGAACTGATTTTTTCTCTCCTTCCTCCCAGTGGCTCTGTTTCTCAGTACTTTGAAGTTATACACAAATTTGCCTGAAGACTCCTCGTGAAAGAAAATCAGCCAAGGACTAAGCTTTCACAGAGAAACTTTTATCCGGACCTCAATTACGGGAACATTTACTTAAACCGATGATTATAGCCGAACATAACGATACCATTTGAGATAGGAAAAGATTTGCATATCGTTAGACTAAATGCAAGCGAGTCGCTTAACCCTCGACTGGCTCAAAGACAGCTTTAAATCTGTACATAGGATACACTTTTTACTTTTACACACGGTCCCTTTAGAGCAATATTAAATCAGGTAAAAAAAATAAAAATAAAAATGCAGGTGTTTAACAGCTGAGCAAACATTCAGTCCATCTCAGAGGACACAGGGTCCTGCTGGGAATACTGAAAGCAACTTCCAGTTCAAAAATGCAGCCTCGACATTTACCAAAGAGCAGCTCAGGGCTCACCCGATCCCTTAAATAAAATCGGAAATACTAGGACGATGGTCAACAGGGATCCTATCAAGGCCCCTGGAGCCGGTGAGAACGCCCACCGCCGTCTCCGGTTAAACAGGAGGCGGTTTACAGGACACCGACTGGCAAACAGTAAGTCTGAGATTCGAGTCCGTGTGTATCCTACACTGAGCGTTAAAAACACCGAAGGGAGGCCACGCGTGGCCACGGACACAGAACACGGGGCCCAGGCGTCCAGCGGGCACACCTGTTGTGATGAAGACAAAACAAGCTGTTTGCTGCCTGCTCAAGCTCCTGCACTCAGCCACCTCCAGTGTTGTGCACGGACTGGGGGGGTCGTGCAGGGTGTGGGAGGTCGGGCCGAGGGAACCCCAGGAGAGATGACACAGCTCATTCCTCGGCTTCCCCTGAGGCTGCGCTGACACTATGGGAATGCTGCCTTGTTGCCTTACCTGCCGAATGTGCTGTTAAATAAAGAGTCGCCTGGCACCGCAGTGCGTGCTGTGCTTCCTGGAGGCGTGGCGGGGCAGCCTGCTTCCCCTCTGACCCGGGTGACCCCGACTCCCGGGTGGGGGTGTGCATGACACGGAAACCAAACCGGAAGGCAGCGCAAAGTCCCACATGTACTTTTATTACAACTGTTTTCAAAGTCACCTATGGTCTTGCTAAGTATTACGGGTAATTCTATAACAAGTCATTTCCAAGATACAAAAGGCAATAAATATAGATTCAAATGTGGCCTAAAAACAAGATTCCAAACCTAATTATCTGTAGTGTAGCTTGGTTTCAATATTTCAAATATATGCGTAATTCTTAAAATGCTACAAGCACGTGTAACAATAAGTCGCTGCTCACTGGCTACCAACTGCTCTTCACGGACAGGGCACGGGCGTGTGCACTTTCGAGCCTTCATGGGGTCCCCGAGGGCAGCTGGTGCTGGGGCCATCAGAGGCGGCCCAGGGTGGCCCGTGACAGCCCTGGTCCTTCCCCTGGGGGGACAGGCACAGGGGCAGGTGCTGGAAACCCCAAGGGTCTCCCAGGAGCCCGACAAGGGCCTGCTTCTGGCGGAAAGAGGCTTCGCTGTGTCTGAGTGCTCCTGGCACGCCTGTCCCCGCGCAGTGAGGCCACTTCCGCCCGAGCTCCACTTCCTGGTGCCGCCGTCCTGCACCAACAGGGAGTTCTTCCATCCTTCATTTCTTCCAGAGCGTTCTCACGGCTCTCACGTTACGGCGTCACTGAAATAAGTCTTGTGAGATTGTGCCCCAAACAATCCTATGACTTCTTAGCGGTAACAGAGATTAGTTCTTCATTAACTACCTTCAATCAGGTTTCAGGCCAAGCTCCGCTGTCTTGGTTTAATTCTTGGGTACAGCTGTAAGAGAGTTTACAAGACGTTTACACACGTACGAACATGGGGGAGCACAGCTCAGGAAATATGGGGTGGGGACTGGCGGGACAGGGAAGAAAATTAAAGAAAAGGGTTCCTTCTGCTTTGTGAAGCACCCAGAGTTGCCCGAGGACACAAAGATTCACATGTAGCAACTCTCGCACCAGGGACACTCAGAAGCCACAGGCCCCTTAGCAGGCACAACGCCACGGCAGGGACATGAAACCCACGATGCTCTCAGCATGAGCTCCATCCGCACAGCGAACAAGTCTGGCGAGGATGCCGCCGGCCGCGGTGACCTGCAACATGCTATGCCCGCACCTGAAGCTCCCATTTCAAGGGAAACCTAAGAGATTCACGTCTCTTTCAACCTGATTCATGACAGACACAGCTCTGTGTCACGGGACTCGGGGCTGTCAGGAGCGAATGCCCCGACTCCAAGTCTACAGATCGAGGAGCGATAGTGGAGTGTTCTGTTTTAGGGTTTTGTGGGGGTGCGTTTTCCATAACAAGAGCTGGAGAGCAGCTTGTATGTGAAGGTCACAGATCCCCCGGCGGGAAGCCAAGAGCAAGTCAAGCTAGTAATTCAACTGGCGGCCGAACAAAAGCCCCCCCTCCCCCTCCCCCTCTCTCTCCTCCTCCCTCTCCCTCTTCTCTCACAAAGGGGAAAAGGTTTTACTGAAAGAAAGGAGCCAGACTTCCAGCCAAAACTGAAAAACTAACTGCAAGATCCACGTTATTATATAAAGGGTTATTTTTCTCTCCGAGAAAAGATGTTTAGCCAACACAATTTTCTAAACGCGTAGCTGAGTCTCTGGCTAAAAATTCAACATGTATGCAGTTTTCTTTTTAAATTTCCAAGAAACAAAGAATGTGGTGCGGAGGCGACTCGTCCAGAGGAGATCTGCACAGGACGGAGCCTGCTCACCGCTGGGCCGAAAGGAGCCTCAGTGCAGCCGTGATTCCAGAAGCTCCGAGCCACACGCACGGGCTGCCCCACGTCTGGGCCCCCGCTTCCGGCTGGGAATCCCCCCCGCACCCCCCCATCGAGCTGCCGCCACAGCACCTCTCTGTCAGGGACTAAAGACCCAAATAGGCAGCCAGCTCTCGGAGGCCGCGCTGCTCTCGGTAAGACCCTGGAGAAGTCGGTGTTGACTGGCTGGGGTTTGGCCGAGGGACCGTGGCGCTCAGACACGCATTTCTCTGCTGCTAAGGACTGAGCAGAACGAGGGGGCGAGGGGGAGAGCCACCTCCGTGCTGCTACATCTGAGAACTCAGAGCCTTTGTAAAGGGCCCATGCCTGTTTCTTTTCACTCCACGATCCTGTCATGTACGTTACACGAAGGAGCGCTGGCTGTCGAATAATAAATCTTGCATCACAGGCAGCGTGGGGACGGGTGAAATCATTCAGCTACACAGCAGACAAGCAACAATGGAGAAGGGAGAGCCAGGAGGACAGGCCGGTCACCAGCTGGCCAGCCAGGCCCCGGCCCGAGTCACTTTAACCAGCTCGGCCGCAGGGCGCCAGATAGAGGCTGGGTCAGGGCCTTGCTGCCAGTCGAAGCTCTAAGTGGGCACAGGCCATGTCTGCCCCACAGCTGATGGCAATACCAACAGATCCACCTCCCAGCCACTGGCAGCACCTGCTCTACCCTCAGCCTCCCACCCGCCTCCCGCGGCCCCGGTCACCCAGGTCCCAGGGCTGGGGGCACCTGCCTGGAGTGGGAGCCAGGGCTACTGACCGTGTGCTGTTCCTTGTAGATGACCTCGCCCTTCCCACCCTCAGACTCGCCTACTTCCTCACCAACAGGCTCTGCAAGCGCTTGTACCTTTAAGCTGTGAGCTCAGTCTCTCAATTAACTCACATTTCTCTGCCTGGTTCCCACGTCCTCATGCCCCAGGCCCCAGGCGCGCATGGTATAGAACACGGAGCCTGTGAAGGAGGCTCCTGCCAGGTCCACCAGGAGTTCCTCCCCCTCTTCCCCGGCCGCCCCAGCCTCCTCCCCGAAGGCCCTGCTGAGTCTTTACTGAGGACGGCCCCCCTTCGTGTGCTCTTGGTTCATATGATCTTACTATTTTCTGGTTTTTATGAAACTTAAAATCAAGCAGCAGAGAAAGAACCAGCAATCCTGTTCGCTAGCCGAGCTGCAAAACCCGATTTAAACACTTTCACTTCCAGTGTCGTGAGCTCGCTGCCCATCCGTTAGCTTTACTCCACCTGCACACGCGACAGGCCCTGACCTCCGGGCCCGGCAAACGTGGAAACGTGCACTTGGCCATCAACAGGAACCACTGGAGATGCGTCTAAAACTGTGACCATCAGCGTTTCACATTCCATGTCCAATGACCACAGGGCACCGGCTGCACTGCGCCCGTCACACCCGGGGTTTTCACCAAGCCCCCCGCAAAGCCTCGCCGGGCCGGGGAACTCACCCCCAGCAGGTTGCGCGGGACGTAGCCCTCCTTGTCGCTCAGGCGCGCCCACCACCACTCCACCTCGTCCTCGTCCTCCCGCCGGAGGACGGTCATGCAGTCTCCCTCCTTCATGGGCAGCTCGTCCTCGTTCTGAGGCTCGTAATCCCAGAGCGCGTAGATGACGCCTTTGTTCATGATGCCCATCTTCTCCTGGACGCCTGCAGCGGCGGGAGACATGGCACAGGGAGTGAGCAATGGAGCAGACCCCCTGCTGCAGGAGCCTGCGTGGGTACAAGCGGGCCCCTCACACTTCTCCCTTAAACACCCAAACACCCACACGCAGAGTCCGGGCAGGGAGGGCGGCCGCAGAGCAGAGGGGACAGACAGACGAGGTCCCCGCGCTGCCGGCTCTAAGCCCGCACACTGACCACCCTGAGCACCTCTCCACGCTGGTCTGCCTCCCTACACAGCCTTCTGCAAGCCCAAGGGTCGGAGAAGAACCACCACAGGCGAGGACAGGAGCGCGAGTGGCAAGCCATCCCCTCCCAGCCGACCCCTAAGCACCAGGGCTCATCCACTCCCTAAACCCCAAGTGGACAGAGGAAAAGCAGAGCGTGTATCTGTTAAAGGGGTCTCTACCCATTCTCAAGTGGGGAGGATGAAAGAACCACATGTAACTACCGGGATGCAGGATGTGGAGAAAAGCCTGCACGCAGTCAACTCTAAAATAACGAGACTCCGAATTCTAAGACAGTGAAACCCACAAACTGGGGAGCAGAGAATCCCGCAGCGCCCACTCTGTAGCGGAGCTCCTCCCCAGCCCTCTCTCTCCAGCCTGCCCTCCTCCCCCTCGGGGTGCTGCTTGTGATGGGTAGCGTGAGGGGTAGCGGTCCTTGCAGGGCAGGCACGATTCACGGCGTGCTGCACACACTCACTCGACGCCTACGCACCGTACAGAAACTGGGAGCACTGCGTGTAGCCCTCCTCCATCTCCTCGCACTTGTCCGCGGCCGTCTGCATGTCGCTGTAGGTCATGGCAAACACGGCGGCCCCCGACTCCACCAGAAACTTACACACCTGGACGTTGTTGCAGGAGGCAGCGCAATGCAGGGGGGTCCTGTGGGGGGAGACAGCAGGGGCTGGGAACGGTTCTTAACCGAATGGCACCTGCTGCGACCTGGTATCTGGAAAGGATGTTCTTGAGTCTCATCTACTAAGCCCCGCCTTCCGAGAACTCTTCACAGTTTCCTTTAAATCAGTTACACGCAGACGCCGAGCCCATCAGAGAGCCACAGCCAGAGGAGCACGTCCGAGTGCTGGGCTGCACGGGCTAGAGCGGGAGGAGGGGAGGAGACTCAGGAAATGAGCGAAAGGACATGAAACCTGGGTAATAACCTAAACCAGGGTGAGATGTATATAGTTGGATGCTCTGAAGCTCCAGCCTATTATTCTGCCAGAGCAGAGGGCATGACAGTCTTCACATTACAGACCTTTACTCAGAACATATGCCTCGCTGTTAACGCCATCACCGACTCTCTCGCCAGCACGGCCATCGCTTTATCATGGGCTGCCAGCGGCCCCAGGTTGACAGGGAGGCAGCGCTGCTGCCCAGGCTCAGAAGGGCTTGGGAAACTTTTTAAAAATATATATTTTTAATTGATTTCCGAGAGGAAGGGGGAGAGATAGAGGGATAGAAACATCAATGACGAGAGAGAATCACTGATTGGCTGCCTCCTGCACACCCCTCAACTGGGGGCGTGTATTGGCTGCCTCCTGCACGCCCCCGACTGGGGGAGTGGGGGGGATCGAGCCCACAACCTGGGCATGTGCCCTTGGCTGGAATTGAACCTGGGAACCTGTAGTCCACAGGCCGACGCTATCCACTGAGCCAAACCTAGGGGTTGAGAATTTTAAGGAGGCCCTAAAGTACATAGGATTCTGTTTCTTTACCCTTTTTCTCCCTCCCCTCTTCATTTCGTTCCTCTTGGGTACACAGGTTTAAAAAAGTGTACCCCAACCCCCGATCCAGACGCCACCACTAACAGTGTGGTGACTCTAACGACAGGACTTTCCAACTCCATGTTTTGTAATAGCGGAAAATCATATATAAGCTGAGCTCCCAACATGAAGGGAACAAGGACACTATCACACACTAAGAATCTGTTTCAGTTGAATTTTTAAAAATGGACTAAAACATGCGGAGTTGCAAGGAAATCTCACCACCCGTCGCTGTCAGCAGCATTTACGTTCACACCAAACTGCACCAGGAACTTCACAATCTCTGTGTGGCCGGCGCACACGGCGTTGTGGAGCGCCGTGATGCCCTCGTCGTTGGGCAGGCTCGGGTCCTCCACCTGGAAAGCAAGGAGGAGGATGGGCGCTGCTCAAGTGCCTGCACACCTGAACCGCCACGACGTCCTGGCTCTGCAGGATCCTAAGGACAGGAATATACTCGGGGCCTTTTAAAAAATCGTAATTAAAACCTGCGAGAGCCAAGAAAACGACACCTAGAACAATTCTAGAAATAAGACAGACAAAACAACCACGTTAAGTAGGCACTCGCTATGAAAAGTCTTTTTTTCTTCCCAAAAATTGAAGTAGAACCAGAAACTGTATCCGTAGAGTCATTTTTGTTTATTTACCCTCCAACTTCCCACCACAAATTAGTGTCTAACTACAAGTGACATTTTCCATGGAAAGAAAAAAAGGTCAACTAAAAATATTTTAAATTGTAGGCTTCTGAACAGTAGGGCCCCCGTCTGTAATTTAACAGTCTAGTATAAATCCACACAAGAGCAATTGTTAAAGGAGGGCAAGGACCCCCCGAGAAAGCACAGGACTCGAGGGGACCTGGTGGAGACTAACTTCTGCATCATGAACACCCGACAGCCACACCTTTAGAGCAGCAACGCCTGCTTGGGAGCAAGTCCAAGAGTTCCTCTCAACAACCCCACCTCCCCCAAAAGAAAAGTTAAAAATACAACTTCTCTACTGCAGCTTCCTGATCTGAGAGCTTTAAAGCAAACTATAATGCAAGGTCGTGTTTAAGAAACTGACCAATCATACCTCATAGATAATCCTCTGTACAAGATCAAATTCTCCCTCCAGAGATGAATCTAGAAGCAAAGCCAGGGGGTTGAACTTCACCCTCATTCCATGGGCAATTCGCTCAGAACCAGTCTTACGTAAGTTGGTCCTTTTGCCCTGCAGAAGAAAAGCGTGGAAAATTAAGGATCCTGCTCTAGGCAAGAGACCGACAAAAATGGGGAGAATAACATCTCAGCTGAGTTGGTAAAAGACACAAAAATATATTCAGCACTTTTTATGAAAGTACCACATTATTCAGAAGAGTATATAAACCACAACAGCTTAACCAATGTGCCCAAAGAACGTGACTTTCCGGAACCGAGTGAGATACATTTGCTCGTCCCTCCAGCAGGAACTGAGCTAAGAGGACCATCTCCAGTGACAGGTAGGCTGGTTTTCTGTCAAGTTCAAAACTAACCAAGACTGGCTTTTAAATTACCTACCTAACATGGTATAGCAAACCCCACGGTTCAACCAGGCAAGAGCTAACCCTAACCCTCACCCTCTCCCTTCCTCTCCAAAAATCAACAAAAACATTTTTTAAAAAAACATAATGCTGTTTCCTTCCCATTTATAAGGTCGACTCTGTAAACTAACCAAGACTGGCTTTTAAATTACCTACCTAACATGGTATAGCAAACCCCACGGTTCAACCAGGCAAGAGCTAACCCTAACCCTCACCCTCTCCCTTCCTCTCCAAAAATCAACAAAAACATTTTTAAAAAAAACATAATGCTGTTTCTTTCCCATTTATAAGGTCGACTCTGGGCCAAAGGAATCCTATCTAATAAAAGAGTAATATGCAAATTAACCATCACTCCACAACAAAGATGGCAGCGCCCATAGTGACCAGGGCGGGATGCTGGCAACGTCACCCTGGCAACGCAAGCCCTGCGTCTGCACCCAGCCGCATGAAGGGAGGGGAAGGGCCTCGGACCAGAGGCCGGGCGAGGGACGCTGGCGTCGTTGCGGGGCCGGGCTGAGGGATGCCCCCATGCACGAATTTCGTGCACCGGGCCTCTAGTTATAGAATAAAGAAGAAAACTGCAGGGCACATGCGCTGCAGCGGGCAGTTTACACACCAGCCTTTGCAAATGGCTGCACGCACTTGCTGCTGCTTCGCCGAGTTTCACAATCAGCCCCTAGAAGAGTGACAGGCTCCTGACGCATCACGAGCACCACTACAAACATTAACTAATTAATCATCATGTCACTGATGTCAGAAAGGTGGTAGAATTCCCATTTCTAAAATGAAGGAATTAAATAAAGTGGTTTGTGGCAATGAAAGACTTTAGAAAGTCTAAATATAAATTCCTCAGGAAACCTTCAACTAAATGAAGGCAGAGGTGGATAGGGGCTATCAGGCCGTCAGGGGCCAGCTAGGGGCAATCAGGCAGGCAGGCAGGTGAGTGGTTAGGAGCCAGCGGTCCCGGATTGTGAGAGAGGTATCCGACTGCCAGTTTAGGCCTGATCCCCAGGGCCTATACCGGCATTCGGTCATCCCCTGAGTGGTCCTAGATTGGAGAGGGTGCAGGCCCGACTGAGGAACCCCTGCCCTGTGCACGAATTTCGTGCACCGGACCTCTATTTATAGAATAAAAAAGAAAACTCCAGGGCACATGTGCTGCAGCGGGCAGTTCACACACCAGCCTTTGCAAATGGCTGCACGCACTTGCTGCTGCTTCGCCGAGTTTCACAATCAGCCCCTAGAAGAGTGACAGGCTCCTGACGCATCACGAGCACCACGTGACTTACCGGAGGCAGCGACACCTGCCCGGTGATCTCAGGAGGACGCAGGCTCCCGGAGTCTTCCCCCAGCCCCTCCGGCTCCCCCGAGGGGTACGGTGGCGGAGGGTAAGGGGGATACTCCTCCAGGTATACCTCCAGCAGGTGGGGAGCCTCTGGATTCGGTTCTTCCACGTTATTCGGGAAACTTGGGCCAGTGTCCGGGGCGCCTTCGGACACATAATCCAGGCCCAGGGGAGGAGCTGGCACGTCACTGTTCGCTGTGCTGGCGTGGGCGGCCGCCTCCGGGGACACGGGCTCAGGGGCCAGACAGGCCACCTCCTTCTCTGGCTCCGCGTGTGCGTACGGGTTCTGGATTTCCATGGGGCTCTCAGGGCCGGCGGTCACTGCGCTCGCCGTGGCCGGGTAGGAGGGCACCGAGATGGTCTCCATGGCAGCGATGGTGGTCCGCTGGTACAGGAGCTTCTGAATGTTTGGACCGTTGGGCCCCTCTGGCTCTGTGATGGAGCTGCGCTTCTTCAGGGGCCGAGGGGCGTTGGACAGTTTCTTGCGCAGAGCTTCGAGGTCAACGTCGCTCTGGTTTCGGTAGGGGTGCGACAGGAAAGGCAGTAACTTGGTGGGGCTGAGGGGCCGAGGAATCCTCTCGTTCTCGTGGCTCTCCGGAACGGAGGAGGCCGGCTCCGTGTCGGACTCGGGGCCGCCGGGTTTGCCCTGGTTCCCGGAGTAAATGCTGTCTGGGGGCTGTGGGTTCTGGGCAGTGATCACAGGCTTGCCATAGACTGATTGCAAAAGGAAAAAAGCTCCAATTAACGTCAGCTAAGCAACACTGGCAAGTCACCGCCATGGCTAACCATGACGAAGGCCTCTCTGAATCTCATGAAAGTGCCTCCACGGGCAGCTGCCGATCGTCCAGGCACCAAGGAGACATCGGCCGCCTATGTGAACAGAGCCCCGTGCAGCACACACCACGGGCATCTGTCCCGAGTCCCCACTGAGCCCTGTGTCCTCAGCTCTGAAGGAGCCGCGGGGAGTGGGAGCAGATGCCCCCAGGCAACCACCACCAGCAGGCTCTGTCTCTCCTATCGGTTTTGTTCCTCTATTTTACTCCATGTTTCATAGTATTCGCTACTATCACCGCAGTCAGTGACTGATGTTTAGCAGAAACTCACATTTTAAACTGCCAATCAAGACCAAAAGCCACGATGAAACAAAATTCACAGAAATCATCGGTCAGATG